ACATTGTCTTCTAAATTATTAGGTCTGTAAATAGATCTTGAAAATTCCAAGTTTAAAAAAGTATTAAAACATCCAAAAATCATAATTTTCAATCATTTATACTCATTTTTTCCAAGTCAAATTGTTGTATATTCATAAAATCAATTTAGATAAAAATAATAGTGAAAAAAGAGAGAGAATAGTAACAATATTAATAATAGTTAAAATAAAAACAAAAGAAAAAAACAAGAATAAAAATAGGAAAGAGAATAGAAATATAACAAAAGAAATTGAAAAGAGAATTAGAAAAAATAGAGAGGGGGAAAGGGACAAAAGAAAAAAAAAGAAAAAGGAAAGAAAAATAAAATAAAATAGAATTGAGAGAGAGCCCAGAGAAGAAGGAAGGTATCTCATAAAATTATTCAAAGATCAAACTTCCAGACACCATTACATCCATTTAATTCAAACTATGGTATTTTGTTATCTTGTTACTTTATATTCCATTTTTTTCCCTTCTCCAATCTATCTGAGTATATTTATTTTCCATTTCAATGTCCTCAAAATTATAAGTTCTATAAAGTTAATTCTGAATTGACTATTCCATATATGGTATCATCATGTTCTTCTTTTGTTGCTACGCCCTTTTTCTCTTGTTATCATGCTTAGTAAATCAGTTTTCATTATTTCATTTAATTTCTTCTTTCTGGTCTTCAATATCCTCCAATACACAGATTATATGTCCAAAGTCAAGCCTCTTGAAATTTTTCTCAAAATAATCCACTTTAAGTAACAAACAACAAAGTTTCTCTTTCAAGTAACAAGCAGTCTGGAATTTACACTTTCATTTTTCAGCTGGCAGCCATCTTTTCCATCTCCGTTTGTTTTTTATCTTTATTTTAAAAGCATATTTATTTCCTCTTCTCCTTCCTCTCTCTCAAACATAATCCAATCTCATTTAGCCACAAAAAATAGCCAAAAAAATAAGAAAAGAAAACCAAATCTGTAATAAAATCATTTCCAAAAAGTCTATAATTAACGCTATCTATCAACAGATCTTTTCTCCACCATTCATTTGAGTCTTTTTGCCCCGATGTTTCTCAGCCACTGTTAAGGCTGGGGCACTGTTAAGGCTGGATTACAAAAAGTTACACTTTTTGTAATCCAGCATTTATGGGCAGTTCTCACCTGGGCAGAAGTCAACTCACCCGGCTTTCAAACTCCCTGCTCCGCTCTCCGCTTCTCACTTCTCCTCCTCTCCTCCAGCACGATCTTTGTTCCCAGTTGCCATGGTTTTGGGACAGCCGTCATGGCTGTCGTTCCACTGCCGCCGGCATGAAGGGAAAGCCTCTGGCCCCGAGAAACCTGCCCGTTCCTCTTGGCCGCCCAAGGGGTCCCTTCTTGTCCCCCTGTCCCTTCAAGACAGGGGAGGTCCGAAGACCTATCAGTGGCAGCTTGGCAGACGGGGTTTTGGCAGAGCTCCGCGGAGCTCACCATTTCCCCATCTGTATCCCCGCGGCACCTAGGTGGACATATTCATTATAGTTGTCAGCTGCAGATGTCCGCCTGCCCACCCGAAGTACCACCTCGGTGAAAAAAACAACTCCATTGCGCTGCACCTCCTTCTGCAGCCAAACACACCCACCGTGCATGCCCTTTCCTCAAATGGGCTGTGCATGGGGCGCTTGGAGTGCGAGCAAGCAAGAGAGCTCTCCAACCTCTGTTGTGTGTGTGTGTGTGAGGGAGGGAGGGAACAATCTGAAGCCGAGGCACCCAAACTTCTGGCAGCGGCGCGGGTGGCTTCTGAGCAGTCCTAAATCAGCCAGCTCCATCTGACCTACTCCCTGAGTCTCGTCATTCTCCTCGCCCCCCCCCCCACTCAAGCAGTGGCAGGCTCTGCGGGACAACAGGACCTCTCATTTTTCCCACAGCACGGCATACGCTTGCTACCTCTGCTTGTCTGCTTGCAAGCGATGATCTTCTCTGCTTCTCTTGGGATGCTGGTGCAGGCACCATGGATGCATAGCTTGTTGGGGCTGAGCAGGGAAGCTGCTGCTTGAGTGGGGTGCGGGTGGGGGCGAGGAGAACGGCGAGACTCAGGAAGTAGGTCAGGTGGAGCTAGCTGTTCAGAAGCTGCACCCACCGCTGCCAGAAGTTTGGATGCCTCGGCTTCAGATCGCTTGCTCCCTCCCACACATGTAACACACACACACACACACACACACACACAAATAGAGGTTGGAGAGCTGTCTTGCTCGCTCGCTCGCTCTCCAAGCGCCCCATGCACAGCCCATTAGAGGAAAGGGCAAGCAAGGCTGGGCATGTTTGGCTGCAGGAGGAGGCCCAGGTGGAAGGCAGCTTTTTCAGCAGCATCCCCCTCCCCTCTTTGGATCGCCCTGCAAGGAGGAGGCTCTGCCTTTGCAGAAACGGGGTGGGCGCTTTTTACGGAGGATTGGTGGTGGGGATGCGCAGCCCTCCGGGATGAAGAGCAGGGCAAGAGAAGGCTCTGAGGTTCACCTGGGCAGTCAAGCCAGAGGGAAACTCAAAGCCTTGGGGGCTTCAGAAAGGCAGAATGTGCTTTTGTGCAGCTCCTGGCTTCTGTGACATTCTGTGAAAGACAGAATGTGCTACTGTTCTGTGTCAGAATGTGGAGCTCCTGGCTCTAATGGTAAGTGACGTGAATGACATCAAACTGGCCATGCCCACCCAGTCACATGACCACCAAGCCACGCCACACCAAGACATGCCCACAGAACCGGTAGCAAAAAAATTTAGATTTCACCCCTGATCTACACACCAGCGGAAAGTTGGTTGGGTGAGCTACCGCATTGGCAGGCAGCAGTTGCATGGCAGTCCTGCACATCCCTGCAGGCTTCCCTGCAGTGGGGCAGACAAATGGAAGAGGAAGGGGAGATTGCCCCTTCCTCCCTTGCACTCCAAAAATTGCCCCGCACCAGACAGGAGCAGTTGGATGGAGGAGGAAGGGGTGATCTCCCCTTCCCTCCTCCATCCCGCTGCAGGGCTACCACTGAGTTCTCTCCCACCAAAGCTGCAGGGCAACCAAGAGCAGCATGGCCAGGAAGGTGAAGAGCCCTTGCAAGGCCAGAAGCAGCAGATGCAGCTGGGCAGAGGTGACAGGGGAGCAGACAATGGTTGCCACCTGCTCCAGAGCGACAAAGTGAGCTGCAGAAGAGGGGGGGCCCTCAGCTGCAAGGTTGCCTGGTGCCGCAGCAGGGCTGGGACTGGCAAGAGTGTGCATGAAACACCTCTAGGCACCCAGAGAGATAGAATAAGAGGCAGCTCCCGATCACCTCAGCTGATCCATGAATCATGATTAAGGGGCCCAGCTGCCATTAGCTTACTGGGGAAGGAATGCAGTGAAGAAAAATGGAAAAAAATAGAAGGAATAGAATTGGGAAATGGAAGCATTGTGAAAACATTAGCAAAGGATGATGGTTACAAATACCTAGGCATATTGGAAGCAGATAACATCTTGAATGGAAAAGTCAAAAAGTCAATGCAAAAGGAATATATCAGGAGGGTCCGCAAAATATTAAAATCAAAACTGAATGCTGGAGACATAATTAAAGCCATTAACACATAGACAGTTTCAGTGATACACTACCCTGCTGGAATCATCAACTGGACAATGGCTGAACTGGAAAATGTGCACCAGAAAATGCGTAAACTTTTGAATATGTACCAAGGTTTACATCTACAAATTGACATCGGCAGGTTGTACCTGCCAAGAAGAATAGGAGGCAGAGGACTATTGCAAATCCATCAAACTGTAGAAGAATAAAAATGAAGTTTGAATGGCTACGTGAACCAAAGTACAGAAAAATTGCTGCAGGCTGTGAAAACGGAGAACACTATAAAAACAACAGAAACAAAGGCAGAATATAAGGAAAAACAGCTGGATAACAGATTAAATAGATGGAAAACCAAAGCTTTGCATGGACAGCACTTGAAAAACATTGAAGGAAAATGTGATGACAACTTTACATGGGCATGGCTTAAGATGGGAACCATCAAGAAAGAAACAGAAGGTTTAATACTCACTGCTCAAGAACAAGTACTACAAACTAACGCCATGAAAGCAAAGATACAAAAATCCACCGACAATCCAAACTGCTGACTTTGCAACAATAAAGTCGAATTTAATATGTGAATGCAGCAAAATTGCACAAACTGATTACAAAGCTAGACACGACTGAGTTGCTAAATTAATCCACTGGTCATTATGTAAAAAATATGACCTACCTGTATCCAAAATGTCATGGGAACATAAAGTGGAAAAAGTTACAGAAAATGAGAAGGTGAAGATATTGTGGGACTTTTGAATACAGATGGATCATCACTTGGAACACTACACGCCAGATATCACTGTTGTCAAAAACCGAAACGTACAATTTATTGACATTGCGGTACCAGAAAATGCCAGAGTCGAAGAAAAAGAACTGGAACAAATCATGAAATATCACAACCTGGCCATCGAAACTACATGGCTATGGATGAATGATGTAACAGTGATACCCATTGTCATCAGGGCACTAGGTACCATGTCCAAGAATTTTATAAGATACATCAACAAATTGCAGCTTCCTGCAATAACACCAGCAGAATTGCAAAAAACTGAGCCACTTGGAACATTGTACATCTTAAGAAGGTACTTGGTTGATACCTAGGATGCTGGCAGCAACCCGTATCAACCATTAGCACCAGTCAATGGTATTTGTGATGTATTTTTGAATGTTCACTTGACTGAGTTTCATGTTTAATGAATAAAGTAAATCATCATCATCATCATCCACCCACACAAAACAAGCTATTGCCATCTGTTGCATGTTGAACTGTTTACAATGCTTTATTTGGCCATTTAAGGAATTCTCATATAGTAGGAAAGAGCATGTAGTGACAGTGACAGTTTACCATGTTGTTGTAAATATTGGTATATTTATCTTATAGGAAGTACATTAAGTAGCCGATTTTCTTGCATTTGTTTCTGTTTTGTACTTTCCCAGGCTTTATTGATTTTATTGTGGAACCTACTTTCACTGTGCTGAGTGATATGACTGAGAAGATTGTAACACCTCTCATCGAGGAAGCCTCTAACTCTGGTATGATGGGATTTAGGCGATCCAGGTCAGTAATCATATATATTTATAGTAGAATCTTCCTCTTTAAAGTGTGTGTTTTGATTGTGTTTGTGTTTGTATGTTTGTATAATTTTTTTATTTTTCTGGGGTAAAGAAAGAGTATTCAAGTCATTTGTGATATAATGATCAAAAAATTATCCAAGTTGACCAGGCTAATAAGACCATTACAAGAATAATATTTGGAAGAAGAGAAATATCCTGGGATGATTATGATAAATCCTTTGAGATTATTTTCTGGACCAAGTATATGTTATCTGCTCTTGATATTGAACCTTATTCCAAATAATATAATTGTAACTATAATACAGATACAATATTTAGAATAGTATCTAATTTATGTGACAGTAAATCTAGAGATAATTTCCCACTTTTCATTATGAAAACAATTTGATTTATTCACTACAAGCATCACTTTAAGGGTAAATGCCTTCTGCAACCCAGACTCTTTTTTTTCCTTTGCCCAAATGGCTCTTCAATAATGAATTAAAATCTGAGTAAATCAGAATATGCAGTGTTTGGATTGCCTTATCATCAACTCCATGCTTCTATGATCCCACCTTGTCAGCAGTTCAGCTGATTTCCAGTTCAGCTGTCATTCAACTAAAAATGGGATAGAGTTAGGAACAGACTATTTTTCCATTGGCGGGAACTTCTGTCCTTTCCCCTATGCTTTTCTCCCTCTTCATAGAGGTTCCATTGTAGTGACAATCATGCTGAGCAACTATTATTTCATCATGTCATTATTTTAATTTGTAAACAGAAGAGTGGATGTGAGAAGAGTTTAAAAGTATTCTCAAGGTTTGGGGAGTGAAAAGTATAGTAAAGTAGGAGGGGCTCCAACTTTAAAAAATTGGCAAGGAATATTCACATGTATCAAAACAAAAAAGTGAAAGGGAGAAGAAAATGGTAATGTCACTTAATATTTCTTAGCAATTAAAATGCCATTAATATTGTATATGCAATCCCAGTCTGAATAGCCTTAGCCCCTCAGAAGTCAAAAGATCAAGTGTCAAGAGCACTGGGTCAGAAGGAAGTGCCTCACTCAACTGTTCCATCCTCACTGTGGACTTCAAATGTTTTAAAGCCACCTGGACAGAAGTAGTGCAACAAAACCGAGAAAAGTGGAAAGCCCAAGCAATCAAAGGTAACAAAAACAGTACTGGAAAAAAATCTGCAGCAAAATGATGAATAACATAGAAAGGCTTGAAATGCATGCAGAGGAAAAGTTCCTAAAGATACTTGGAGGTTTCTGGTGAGACATTTGTGTGAACCACAATTTAAAAGATTTCAGTGGGAGCACTACTTGATCACATCTTTCCATATCTGATTCTTGCAGTGATATAGGAGAAGACATGAAGTGAAAGACTAAGGGGAGACTGTCTACTTCCTGGTAGATACTCAAGCTAACCCTTTCAATTCTAGATGAAAAGAGTACTGTGAATAAATTTTTCTCTGTATTATGGAAATCAGTTTCCTTGTATATTAATATTAATGCAAGGAAACTAGGACATCATGTAGAATATTGTGTATTGGTTTACTTTTTCAGTATTTTGATTTTCATGAATCAAATCCTCTCTATAAATTAATTTGACTTATTGTCTGTGGTTTAGTTCAATTCGAGGTCTCAGGGGAGGGGCGGGGGGGGGGGTAGCAGTTGTTATAAAGGAAGGTCTTGGTCCAAAGGAGGCCACTATACCTCAGATAGCCGGATGTGAGTCCCTCCTTGTGAAGTGGGGTCATTGGGTGCAGATGGGCTTGTTGATCGCATACCTGGCTCCCTGCCGCGTGGCGGCGGCCCTGCCTGAATTGCTCAACGTGATAGCCGGGGTGGCAGTTGATACCCCCAGGCTTATGGTTATGGGGGATTTCAACCTGCCATCCATCGATGAAACGTCTGAGGTGGTTCGGGAGTTCGTGGCTTCCATGATGGACCTGACCCAGTTAGTTCATGGCCCTACGCACACAGGGGGACACACTCTGGACTTGGTTTTTGTCTCTGGCCAGTGGCTGAATGATTTAGATACAGGGGATATAGTCATTGAGCCCTTGTCATGGTCAGATCATTCTCTCCTTCAACTTGACCTTCAAACTACTACACCCTGCCGCAGGGAGGTGGAACCAACTAGGTGGTTCCACCCCAGGCACCTGATGGATCCTGATAGGTTCCGGACGGAGCTTGGGCCATTCCCTGAGGTTCTGGCTCACGACCCGGCTGAAGACCTGGTGGTCGCCTGGGATAGGGCAGCTGCTGGAGCTTTGGACCGTGTCATGCCTTTGTGGCCTCTGACCAGCGCCGATCTCACTTAGCTCCCTGGTTTTCTGAGGAGCTGAGGGAGATGAAGCGCTGGAAAAGATACCTGGAGAGTGGTTGGAGGACTAGCCTTTCCGAATCTGACCGAACACTGGTGAGGTCTTATATTAAGACCTACCTAGTGGCAATAAAAACGGCAAAATTTAATTATTTTTCTGCTCTTATCATGTCTGCAGATAACCGCCCAGCCGCCCTGTTTAGGGTGACCCGCTCCCTGCTCCATCTGGAAGAGCGGGAAGACCCCTTGGAGGGTAGGGCTGAGGATTTTGTGCAGTATCTGCATGACAAAATCACTCAAATTCAGGAAGGCTTGGACTCTGACTGGGTAGATGCAGGTGGGGTGATGGAGGCAGGTCTTGAGAGTGTTATCTGGGAGGAGTTTGATCCAGTGACCCCCCAAAGACATGGACAGGATTCTGGGTAGACTCAGCGTGGCCACATGTTTATTGGACCCGTGTCCCTCCTGGTTGGTGCTGGCTTCCTGGGAGGTTACACGAGGCTGGCTCCAGAGGATTATCAACGCTTCTTTGAGAGAGGGCTGCTTTCCCGCTGCCTTGAAAGAGGCAGTGGTGAAGCCCCTCCTCAAGAAGCCCCCCCTGGACCCGGCTGTTTTAGCAAATTATCGTTCAGTCTCCAACCTCCGCTTTGTAGTGAAGGTTGTTGAGAGTGTGGTGGTGCGACAGTTCCCCCAGTACCTGGATGAAGCGATCTATCTTGATCCATTCCAGTCGGGTTTCAGACCTAGGTACAGCATGGAAATGGCATTGGTCGCATTGGTTGATGATCTCTGTAGGGCTCGGGACAGGGGTTGTTCCTCGGTCCTGGTCCTATTAGATCTCTCAGCGGCTTTTGATACCATCAACCATAGTATCATGCTGCGCCAGTTGGAGGGGTTAGGGGTGGGGGGCACCGTGTTGTGGTGGTTCTCCTCCTTTCTCTCTGACCGGTCGCAGTTTGTGTTGACAGGGGGCCAGAGGTCGACCTCGAGGCACCCTGTGTGTGGGGTGCCGCAAGGGTCGGTCCTCTTGCCCCTTCTGTTCAACATTTATATGAAGCTGCTGGGTGAGATCATCTGTGGTTTCGGGGTGAAGTTCCATCAGTACGCTGATGACACTCAGCTGTACATTTCCACCCCGGACCACTCCACTGATGCCCTTGACGTGCTGTCCTGGTGTCTGGAGGCCGTGCGGATCTGGATGAGGAGAAACAGGCTCAAGATCAACCCTTCCAAGACCGAGTGGCTGTGGCTCCTGGCGTCCCGATATAGTCAGCTGGCGCCATCTCTGACTATTAGGGGAGAGTCCTTGGCCCCCACGGAGAGGGCTCGCAACTTGGGTGTCCTCCTGGATGCATGGCTGTCCTGAGAAGAACATGTGATGGGCGTGGCCAGAGGGGCCTTCTATCAGGTTCGCCTGATTCGCCAGTTGCATCCCTTTCTGGATTGGGACACCTTGTGCACTGTCACTAATGCCCTTGTCACTTCCCGCCTGGACTACTGTAATGCTCTCTACATGGGGCTCCTCTTGAAGAGCACCCGGAGGCTCCAACTAGTCCAGAATGCAGCCACACAGGTGATTGTGGGAGCGTCATGGCGCTCCCATGTAACACATCTCCTGCGCAAGCTGCACTGGCTTCCGGTGGACCTCCAGGTGCGATTCAAGGTGTAGGTGACCACCTTTAGAGCTCTCCATGGCTTAGGACCTGGATACCCACGAGACCACCTTCTGCCACCGAGAGCCTCCCACCGGCCAGTATGCTCCCACAGAGAGGGGCTCCTCGGGATGCTGTCGGTCAAACAATGTCGACTGGCAGCCCCAAGGTGGAGAACTTTCTCTGTGGGAGCACCTGCCCTCTGGAATGAGCTCCCCCCAGAGATACGGAGGATTCTGGATTTATGTACTTTCCGCCGGGCCCTCAAGACTTTTTTATTTCAACAAGCAGGGCTGGCCTAACTTCTCCTATTGCTTAATTTTAATTTTAATTTTAAAAGGGGTATTTTAATTGTTGGGCCAAAATTGTTTAATATGTTTTTTAAACTGTTCTTAAATTTTTGTACTCTATGTGTTTACCTTTGGCTGTTGACCGCCCTGAGTCCTTCAGGAGAAGGGCGGTATATAAATTTAAATAAATAAAATAAAATAAATAAATTCTTTGAATTTTGTGAATTGGATTTTAGGATACACAGGCTGTAACTTGGTTTGTTTTCTAGCAATCTGCTCTGCCTAGTAATTAAGTTGGTCATTATAGATACACAATTGTCTTTCAGACAAAATAAACTTTAAATCTATGGATTTGTAATGTATATAGTTATTGTGGGACTTCCAAATGCTTTTCCTTAACATGCTACAAATACATTTGAATAGATATTTTCTTTTTTTAGTTGGCTGAATTTTAGTTGGTGTGCTGTGTCTGATCCAGTAAGAATTTGAATTATTTTTTATTTATTTATTGTTACAATAATTTGTTGCCCATTTGTTATCTAACATTCCTCATAAAGTGGTTAATAATGAATGCGATACTGTAAAGTAAAAATGTTGTAACTATTATTGAAAAAACAACACTCCCATAGGGCAACAAAAAAAAAATCTGGCAAGGGAGGGGGTGAGAGTCCAGCAGACCAGAATTCCTCTGGTTTCAAGGACCCTGATGCCATGTACATAGTGTACGTACTTGTGTACATAGGCACATTGTTGGTATCAGGAAATTTGTAAGCATACTGTTAAGGTTTGTAACCTCTTACATGCACAAAATGTTACTTTGTCTAAGTTTTATTTTTGGTCTACAAACTCCACCCTCCATCACCATACTCTTGATTTTCTGACATCCCTATCAACTTTTAAAGAGTTGACTCCAGTGGTGGGATTCAAATAATTTAACAATCAGTTCTCTGCCCTAATGGACAGCTGGGTAGGTGTGGCTGTATGGTCATATGACTGGGTGGGCGTGGCCAACTTGACATCACTCACCTCGAGGGGCACTTCTCCTCGCCCAGCCTCTCATGACAATGGGGATGCTGCAACAGTCATAAGTGTGAAAAATGGTCATAAGTCACTTTTTTCAGTGCCATTGTAACTTTTGAATGGTCACTAAAACAACTGTTGTAAATCAAGGATTACCAGTATAAAAATACAAAAAGCTTCTTTGCTTGCAAAAAGCTTCCCTAAATACCAATCATTAGATTAGAAATACCTGCAACCCAGAGTTACAAATCAGGCAAGGTGCTAGAGGATTTTGAGGAATTAAAATAGTTAAAATCCAATGATAACTATCAGCAGTCAACTCTTGCTCGTAAAGTGAAACATTTACAGAGAGGTCATTTAAGCTCTCTAGAAAGTGGGTGGGCATATTTGGGCTACAAAATGCTGAGCTAAAGAGACAAATTAACAAATTATATAGAAAACCAACCCAGGTTCAAGTCTCTGTCCTCCCCAGTTTGTCAAACATGGCTGGTCTCACTCACTTCACAAGTTATCCTAAGGAAATCATCCAGATTTAAGGAAAGATTTCATGCCCCCCAGAAAGGCAACAACAAAAAAAAAAAATCAATGCCAAACTTGCATCCTGCCTCTTGGAAGTATGCCCCAAAAGGACAGTGCCAGGAACTACTAAAGCAGTGAAGGAAGACCCACTCCCCAGATAGAAAAAGAAACCATGAGGCAGGAAAAAAGTAAAACACAATACAAAGAATTAAATCACAACAGTTTAAATCCTTTTAAAACTAAAACACAAGCCTTGTCTGGCTCATTGCCAGAGCTTACACCCAAGGCAATCTCAAATATAAACACTTGAGATAAGCCTAACTACAAAAAATGCAGTTAGCGCTAGAATGTAGC